AAGAGAAGAAGGTACTGGGTCCTCTTGCTATGAGAAGAGACTTGCCATCAACACAGAACTCCAAGCAGACTATGGAAGGAGAGATTTTCACAGTCTATCCCCAATTCGTAGTGCACCTGCCTTGCACACAGGGTCTTATGACAGACAGAGGGAGCCCTACTGAAGTGATGACACCATTTGCCTTCTGTTAATCTGGATTCAATCTAGTGCATATTTTTAAACTTATCTGGACCTAACAACATGCCAACCCAGTGCACTAAGATTACTGCTGTAGTCCTTTGCTGGAGTAGTCTTTCTTCTTGCTTAAAAATTGGCAAAGTTTTATGAATCTTTGTGGAAGCCGGGCTGAAGATGATTCTATTTGTTCCCCACGTATTTTTAATATGAGGCCTCTACCTAAATCCTCTTAGTTTCTAAAGGCACTTCTGAATATGATTAGAATATGAGTTAGAAGAAAGACCTGTAACACAAAGCTTCTTCCCCCTCCACCTCTCTTCCCTCCCAGTTTTCCAGAGTTCAAACAGACTACCAAGAAAAGGGACAGCAAAGCTGTGTCCCAAGCATGATTTTTAAAGAAGGGAGGTATGAAATCCCAACATCTAAGCACTTGTAACAAAACACTTGTGGGAACTGTATAGGTGATAGGATCTATAAGTATTCCAGACAGCATTAACAGAATGAGTGGAGAGTAATCTCACGCCTGTTCTTCAGGCAAATGTTTCTGATGCTTTCAAATCACCTCTGAAAGTAAGGCTTGTTTCAGTAGCAGGATGGCATGCCGAGAAAAGCCCTTTGAAGTGTAGTTCAGACTCTTTGCTTGTACTTGTAAGATAGTGTTTAGAAGATGGACGGCTTTCATGCTTAAGAGACTGTACAAACTTTGTAAAATACACACTGTGGAGAAAAGCACATCCCTGCAAGCACCATCTTGCAGGTAGAAACCCAAGTCCTGGCACGGGATTTGAGTCCTTAAAGTCTGGGGTGAATGAGTCTTACACCTAGCAATCAAGAAGCACAAACAACTTGGGCTATTAAAAGCATGGCATTTATATCTCTAACATTATGAATTATTCAGCCTTTAAACATGCTTTACCAGGGGTTCAGCAGAAGCAAAATGCAGTACTAAATCAATTTTATCTGGAATAGTGTGGAAGAAGGGAGAGTTCCTTTTCTATTTTGAGAGCAAAATCTATCCTACACATGCACAGCCAAAGCCTTCTAATATAGCAGGCTGAATGCATATTAGTTATTCAAACTCAAGAACGTGTGCATAAAAGGAATTTCATACAATTAGTCCCCGTTGTCCTCCTCAGTTTATGCTCTCTGTAAAGTTCTCATTCCAGTGTTGCTACACTGAGACTCATTTTTTTGCCTCCCACAATGCCTTCAGTAATGTAAAAAACATCAGACAAGCAGGCATGGATGTCTAAAAAGAGACTATCTGTACAAGTCACTGATCTATCATTTAGTCAACAGGCTCAATTCATAGATTACTATAGCAAAGCAAAAGCAAGTCAAGCACAACGAAAACGGGTAATGCTATTTCACTCCTAATATTATAAAATGTGCCAGTTTTCTGCCAAACTAATGTAATGGAACACAGTTATGATTTTATGAAGAATTTTTTTCACATAATTTTAGCCGACTATCACTCTAGCTAGCACGTAAAAAGATCTTAAGGAGAAAAAATTAAATTTATTCTCAACTAACGAAAGCCTCTGCACACCTCTACTTTTGTATCTTTATTTGCTAAACAAATGATAAAAGTTTATCTTCAGCTTGAAACCAAACAAGAGTGCAAATGTACCTGAGGAGGCATAGTTTATGAGGAACAGCATGAAAAATCATACTACACAGGGAAAAAGTTCCAAGAACACACTTAAAGGAAAGCTGTATAAGTTACTGGCTATGTATATGTCCTATTTTAACCAAGAGAGAGTAGAGGTAACTGAACTCCCCTTTAAAGAAGAACCTTGTTTCAGGAGTTCCTTTCATATATGTTACAGCTTCAGGCAGTGAAAACAGAGAAAAACAGCACCATGGGAGCTTGGGAAGGTCCTTGTTGAATCCCCACAGCCCCACCAGAAACCTCCCTTCATTGAAAAAACACTCTTTCCCCTCTTTCCCAGCTTGGCCAATCATTAATTTTGGTTGGGTTTTTTTTTTTTCAGCTGCTGGAGCATTTCATAGGGACACGACATGGAAAGCTGCCAGCCTTCCCAGAGCCAATTCCGAGTAGGTCAGTCTTGGCTCAGCAGCAGACCACATAGCGAAGCAAAAGGAAACACAAGGCCTTGAACTCACGCCCATCTTCCCTCTCATCCTCCATATACACATTCTAAATACAGATTTTCTTTGACTGGTGACGAATTCACTGGTGGCCAACATCATCTCCACTGGAGACCACGATAGCAGCCAACAGGCCCTATCCATAAGCAAACCAAGAACTGCTCAGATTAAAACTAAGTAAACCTAGAAGTTAAAATTCCAAACTTTACCATTAATGTGTATTTTTGGCTTCCTTCACGTGTTATAGGAGGTTACAGAGTAACTATAATAGAGATTTGCTATTTGGAGCTAACGAGCTCCAAATAATACCAATCTAAAGAGAAGTGGTGATACGAACTAACCTGTTGCCAAGAATATCTTCAGACAGTAGGCATACCTATGGCTTTTGATTTGTGCAGAAAGTAGAGGCCACGTGTGCAACTGACAGCCCTAAAGAATGATACATTACTCTTTGTTTATGAGGAGGATACCAAAGAAACCAGAGAAATATTACCGATATTGATATGATACATAGATACTGATATTTAAAATATTCTACAGAAACCCCATGTCACAACACTAGTTCTGGAAGCAATCCCTAAAGAATTGTAGGGAAAGTGAATGTACTATTTAGCACATTAGGGACATGCTTACTTTTCTATTACCCAGAAAAGCAGCATCTGGATAATTCTTCTTAAATAACCATGGATATACCATTACACAACCAAGCACAAAATAGTGCAACATTGCAAGAAGCATTTAGTAATTATGATAAAAACAAATCCATAGGGGCAGATTCACTGGAGTCGCAGGCCAAACCCATGTTTCTTTCTAGGGGGGAAAAAAGAAAAAGGAAGGGATGTGTCAATCTTTCCACACCTCATCCTTTGACAGTAACTACTCTACACCATCTGGCTATTAAGGACTGTCAGCACTTGAAAAATATCTATAGTGCTTTTCTGACTGCTGTTATAGGAAAGGAAAAAGAAAAAAAAAAGTAGTAGAAAATTCAACAGACATAATGTAAGGCGAAAACTATCATCCTGCCTCAGTTCTTTTTTGAGAGGGAAAAAATGCTGTGCTTATTGTATATCTTAGAAAAATCGTATTTTGAAAACAGTGAAAACTGGTGAATAAGCCTGAGGATTAAGGCGTCAAACTATAAAAAGACAGGTGACTGAGCAAAGCCCTAACCCTGCACACATCTCTTACTGCTCAACGCACTGGAGCAGAGCTCACCTGCAGATTAATGCGAGTAACAGAAATCAAGGGCTAATTTGTCCATTTGGCATTTCTTATGAAGGTCTAGAACAGAGCCTGAATTTAGCCTTTGAGTGCTTCATAAGGCCTACACGAATCACTAACCTGATAAGCAGAAGAGAGACTGAGCCATCTCATCATCCAATTTCTACTAACTCCATATGACTTCACTCACCCTACGAGTACAGCAGCACAGCTTCTGCCAATATCGCTCCTATGGGCAGTTGAAGCTATTCTAGCTAAAAGCAAATATCCTTGCCAGAGTAGCTGCCTCCGCTGAAAGAAGAGCATGCATTTCACAGAAACAAGCATAATTGAGCTCACTATCTTCCACAGAAGTTTTTCTGGTGTGATTTTGTTTCATTATATCTGCTTAGGTAACTAACGAAAACGGACCTACTGGAGCAGGGATATATTTAGGTATCTTTATACAACACTTTGCATTTTTAAATGCTTGGTTTGGATTTCTGGACCTTTCCACATGTATTAAACCATAAAGCATTTTGAAGCTACCACCTCTAGCACAGGAACTAACACCTTCTCTGCTGTTTTTACTTCTTTGTTCCTTTAAAAAGGGACTTGTGTATTAAGACTTACTGTAACAAGCATAATGACCAGAATTTTTACACCTCAGATATTTTTTATAGATTCCATCCTCAAAATATTAATACACATACTCAGTAAACACAGGACTAACTTGTGAATATCACTATTCTTTGTATCTTTTGTCATTAAAAATGAAAGCTAAAAATACACGTGCACCTCCCTGTTGCATACTTGCTCCACATTTGAGCAGAAACTCCCAGACAACCATCATAAACAACTGTGATGAATGCTTCAATCTCCAATGGGCTGTGGGATGAACACCATAAAAAGAAATTAAGACTTACTATTTTTCCACCTCCTCTCAAAACACAAGAGTCTAAACCAACTCCTGTTTAGTCAGTTGTGACTTCGTAAACTCTGTATCTACCAAACCACACGCTGCCAGGAATAGCACAAATCTCAAAGCAAAGATTACAAAATCATTTGGGGGGTTTGGTTGGGGTTTTTTCTTTTAAGACCCCAACACACACCCTTGCAAAGAGGAACAGTTTAATATGCTTTTAGTTTTCAAAACCAGCATAGATCTGTTTATTCTGCTGGGTATACACCAAATGTTTGAACCAAAAAAGTTAGTCAGACAATACAGCTCGCTTGACTACACTCTTTATTTGAAGGAAAACCAAAAAGATCGATTTTCTACTCCAACCAGCTGAAATGACAATTAAAGAAAGTAAAATCTCCTAACTTTTCTTTTCTTACAAAAAAAAAAACAAAAACAACAACAAAAAAAAACCACCCAAGAAAACAAAAAACTACCCAGCTTCTCATCTGTCAACTAACCAAGTGGGTTTTGGCCGCTGAAAAATCCTGCCATTGGTCAGACTTTGCAACAGGCACATCCCATACACCTGGTTCGGCAGGCACCGATGCGCGCTCAGCTCCGCATCCCGCCGCTTTCTCGGGCTGGGGGGAAACAAAGCTGGGACCGGGGATCTGTCACAGGCCGCGTCCCGGCGCCAGCCGCCGAGCTGGAAGCTGAGGCGAGCGCGATGCCAGGTTAACAATTTGCAATTTGCCTCGCTCCTGGACGCCGCGGCAGCCCTCCATTTTGTCAACTGCCTCAATTTTAAACGTTTTCCAAGTCGAAGGCAGAATTTCAACGTTTCTTCGGGAGCCCTCCGGGGCTTTAAAGCATCCCCGACCATTTTAAGCAGCGGAGACCCTGTTCGGAGCCAGCGCTCTTGGCTAAGTTTAGCAAGGCAGCCGCGCACGCCGCGCCTCATGAGCAGCCCCCGAACCCTCTGCGGGGCAGCCAGCGGGCTCCTACCCATCCTTCTTCCAGCCGCGGCTGCCTCCGGCCCGGGCACGAACGGCGCCCGGCTTCCTCCTCTCACGAGGAGAGGCAGGTGGATGTCGGGAGGTGGAAAAGGAAGGGACGAGGAGACAGGAGCGGCCGCGGGCAGCAGGGGGCCGGGTGCCGGCAGCAGGTAGGGGAGCGCGGTGCCGTGCCTGTGCCGTACCCCCTCCCTCTCAGCCCCGTTCTTACCACCTGCGGAAGCGGCCGGAGCCTGCCCGGGCCAGAGCAGCGACCTGTCCACTGCGGGCGCTCTCCTCCGGAGGTGAGGGAGCGGCGGGGAAGGGCATGCGGGAGGAGGGAGGGCTCCCACCGCCCGCCTCTCCCTCACCTCCCTCCCCCTCCTCCTCCTTCTCCCCGCCCAGCCCGGCTCGGCCGTGCCCGGCACCCCCCGCGCCCGTCGCCCCCCTCCCGACTTGGCTTCCACGGGGCGGCCCCACTGGTCCGTGCGCTGCTCCCGGCACTTACTGTGTCACCCCCGCCTGTCTGTCTGTCCCCTCGGCAAGGATAAAACTAACTGCCACCAGCCCCGCGGCTGCCGCCCGAAACAACTTTGTCTGCTTCCAGTCTCTAGGAAAGCTCCTCTTTTTCCTTCTTCTTCAGTAAGAAAAAAGAAAAAAAAAACAAACAAACAAAAAAAAAAAAAAAACAAAATCAAAAACCAACCAAACCCCAGCAATTTTAAAATTAAAAAAGGAACAGAAAAAAAATACATTCGGCTCTTTTTTTAAGAGTGGGAAGCGTGAAGGTGGGAGGGGAGAGGACCAGAAAAAGGAAACATTTGGAGCCTTAGAGCTCTTTTCTTCTCTTTCCTTCTCCTTCCCCCACCCCCCACCAAGATGGCTTGAAAAAATTAAAAGGGGACAGTGATGAGGGGGACACACACTGAAAAGCCAGAGAGGACGGAAAAAGTTTGGGGGTTAGGGGGTTTTGTGTGTGCGTTTGGTCTTTTTGTTTGTTTTTTTTTTAAAGCCTTCGGTTCCCAGAATGACCCAAAGGACGACAAACACACGGGAAGAGCAGGCACAAGGAGAGGAACGAACGAGAGAAAGAGTTTTGCTCGTCAGTAAACTTCAAGCTGCTGGGATGAGGTCATTGGTGTAAAAATAAAGCGATGGCGTCATTTGAAACCAATCCCAGTGAATGAACTCAGACGGGGGGTGAAGGTGGGGGGAGAGGGTGAAGGAGAAAGAGGAGGAGCGGCGAGAGAGGATCCCTGCGGGGACACGGAGGCAGAGGCGGCCGCGCAGCCCAAGCGCTGAGAGGCGATGGCGGTGGGGCGCTCGGGCCGCCCCAGCTGTCACCGAGGGGAACGCGCTGCCCCCAGCCTCCCGCTGCAGCCCCTGGGAGGAGCCGGGGCCGCGGAGCGATTCCACCGAGCCGCCTCCGCGACGCGGGACGGGGAGGTGGCTCTGCCGCGCGGCCCTCGCTTCTTTGCCGGCTCCTCTCGTCTGCGGCCGCTCCGCCTCAGCGGCCCCTCCGTGCCCGGCCGGGGCAGCCGCGGCCGAGTGGCGCAGCGCGACGGCCTGGCGGGCGCGGTCCCGCTGCCCTCGGTGCCACCAGCCGAGGGGACAAGCGCCCCGGGTGGCTCCGTAAATATCGGTCTGGCCTTCTGCCTTGAGACGCTGTGCGGTGGGATGCTGAACTGTTACGGTGTTAAGGCGTCGGTTCCTCCAGTGGTGGTGTTACAGAATCATATAATCACAGAGTGGTTCAGGGAAGGAAGGGGACCTTAAAATGTCAAGTCCTTTCACTTGTGGGCAGAGCACCTTGTGGACTACGTGGAACGTTCAGGGCCTTCGCCCTTTAAATAACCTTGTTAAATAAAAACAAAATTAAAAATCTGCAGCCAATAACTTGCAAAAAGCGAAAATCTGCTCAGATACACAGAAGCCTTTTATCTTAACATGTATCTGTTATGGCTAGTACCAGCCTGAATTGGCGAGGGGTTGGATGGGTCCTATCTGTCTTATACATCCCTCTTGCAGGTACACCAGAATATTCTGCAGTTCTCTTTCTTCCTCAGAGGCATCATCACTACAGGGAGCCTGCCAGCACTGCTGGGTGCACAGGACATCTTGCACACCAAACTCCAGTCAGTCACCTCTGATGGCTTTTGAATTCCTGTGCCAGAAACCCTTGGAAGACATCATGAGAGAGAGAATTAACTGCACGGGTCCTTTGTGGCTATCTCTTCAAACAAAGTGCCTTCGGAAAGGCACATGACTATCACAGTAAAATGGTCTGTGTGGTTGGTGTTTCAGGAAGCAGGCAACTCAGAGCAAATTATATGGTGGTGGTCTCTGTCCTGGCAAAATTGACCAAGAACGACCTTGATGAAGGGCCTAGTGTTAAGGAGTTGTGAGCTGTCCCCTCATGAGGAAGCCTTGTTGGCACTCATACTGAACAGTCACGTCCTGTGCAACGGAGTGCAAAGCATGCAGGAGAGAGAGAGAAGCCCAAGCTCCATAAGACAGAGACAAAAGATCAAAAGCAGTGAAGAAATTATGGTAAAGCAATTAACATCAGTCTGTTTGTTCACTATTTTGTACACGTCTGTCTTCTGGTAGCTGAAGAGCAGTTTTGCCCTTTCATCTCAATTGACCAGTGGCCCTGAAGGTGGCTTTCACAAACCCCCAAAGTGACCACAGTATGAAAAATCTGCACAATTAACTGGAGATTAAAGAGAGCTAGAACTGACCCATTTTGATGAAGGGGATCGAAGAGCGTGCCAGAGAAACTGGAGGTAACAGCCAGTGCCCCAGCTTATTCAGATCAGAGAAGTGCAGGAACAAATAGTTCCAGCACGGTTATCCTCACAAAGAGAAGTGGGGAGCAGTGGAGAGAGGTGCGTGGTGAGGAGGAAAGACATTTCAATGCTCCCTTTCCTTTTGTCATCTCAACTTGGTAACACCTTATGTAACTGGTTCTTTTTTTTTTAAATTGTGGGACTGTAAAAGTTTCCTGACTGTAAAATTGTAAGAATAAGAAGTACTTGTGATCTTCTTGAAATATTTTTCTTTTTAGCTGAAAAAAAAGGATATATACAAAAAAGTCTGTACTAGAACAGCAAGTTAAAGCTTTTTCAATAGAGAGTCAGGTTATTTCTTTTTCCTAATGTAATAAAAGGTGCGACTAAACCAGTGATATCACAATTCCTGCATGTTGAAATAGTTACTAAGAATAACTTTTTCTTTTCAGCTGAGCTTGAGCTGAGAATCTGATCTGGAAGAACATTGCAGGGTTAAACTGGACAGGTTTGTTGCTAATCTGAAGACACAAACAGAAGAAATCAGGAGGACTCAAGGCAGCATCAGACCTCACCTCATTGAGAGCAGGAGGCATGTTCTTTACCTCCTGTTTGCAATGGACAAAGTGTGAGCTGACATACCTCTTGTAGGAGCAGGAACTTGTTTGCATGTACAGCTTAACTTTTTTTTTTTCCCCTTGAAAGCCTTTCACTGCTCCCTAGCACTTGCACAGCAGACTCTTGGAAATGACCTGAACTGCAGGTGCAAACCAGGGAGAGAGTCAGGCATTAGTTTGGCAAACACCTGAACCACCTTGAAAAGGGAGTACCCAGCCTGGCTGCTGACCTTCCCTCCCAAGTTTTCAAAGGTCCATCCATTCTATGGAATGTGTTTTGCTACATTTCTGTTGGTGGGTTTTTTGGCCTCAGCTCACCGGTCCTTTTTGACAAAATGGTACCAAAGGAGTTAAAGGTAGCATTCCTTTCTTGCGCCTCCTTATCAAGCTCATGAGATAAGAAGACCAGAAGTGTCTGTATGGGGTAAAACAAGGGCAAAATGTATTATGGTGGCTATCCAGCAGGCTATGCAACAGCCCTCAAACTTTGACACTGCAAGTGTGTCACCCCTCACTGCCTCTATTCCTGAGGGCCAGGGAGGGAAAATAGTTAGGTACTTTCAAGAGCTGAAGGTCATGCACCTTGTTTACAAAGGTTTCTCTTTCTTTATTTGTGAAAGCTAGCATAGCTTTTTGTTCCTTTTCCAGCTAATGGATTTTGTGGCACTTCCCTTGGTTAATCAGTTAGCAGTGATTAAACAGGGGAAACATGAACGACAGCCTGAGTAACGTCATCGTTTTTTCTGCACAGTGGAAAGGAGTGGTTTGCCAGAGAAACCTCTTGCGAAATAACTGAGAATTGATCTTTAAGCACAGAATCTACTATGCTTTAAAATCCCCTTGTGGGTGCTCACTTCCTCCATGGGCTGAAGTGGAGTTGTTAAAGAGGTTACCATTCCCAGACCGTTCCCAGTCACCATCATGGCTGTCTTCTGCCAAAGGTTACCCCCTCCCCTATCTACCTATAAGCTGCTCACTCAATCCCTCCCAAAACTGTTTTGGCCAAAGTCAACCAGAGCAGCTTAAGCAGTTTAAATAGTAGAAGTCAGCTGCACTGGTTTGTTTTGGCTATACTGGATTAGGGGAAACCCAAGATGGGAAGTGAGTTGACGACATTTTCATGGACAGCTTCAGGGGCAGGGGGTAGTTTGGCCTAATCTGCTTTCAGAGCAGACCGCTACCAACAGGGTATTTAAAAGTAGAAGCATTACCAAGATACCCACATTGAAACACAGCATTTTTAGATAGCACTGGCTTTTTTGGCACATGGAGCAGGGTACAGCAGTAAGAGCAGCACAGGTTTGTAGGAGAGCAGCAATGGGAACATGAGGATTTGAAAACCAGTACGAATAGAAGATGTCAGACTGAGAGTGGGGAAAGAGCAGAGGAGGGAGAAAAGTTTGTAGCTGGAGATCAGTGGGAAATCACAGAACTCAGTCTAGAGAGGAGGAATTTGAGTAGCATGAGAAGTGCAGGCATCAAAGATGTAGGGTGCCAAGTAGAAGTGCTCAGAAGAAGACAGTGAGTTGAGAACACCCAGTATCTCGCTGTTCTTCCCTTCCTTCCCTTCCATGTGTGCATAAGACTTTGGGAAGCTCCATCCCTCTGGAAAATGGTTAAATAAGAATAGCCTCATTAGTTAGTCACTGCAGATAGTTTTCATACTTCTACTTCCCTATAGCTTCTCTAGGATTGCCAGATTCATAGCACATCAAATGAGCTAGAGTTAGTATGCAAGTGGAGAGGTCTAGGTTCAGTGCAGATATGTGTCTTTGAGTTGGAAGGAATTTAGGACAAGATGAAGCAATATTCTTGTTCTCTGTAGGATGACAGTGGGTGATTTGGAGCAGTGGAAGAGAAAAGGAGAATTACAGGAACTAGAGCAGCAGAAAGTGCAGAAAAAAAAGCGAAAGAGAGCTTCAGCTGTCTGCTTCCCTGTATCTTCTTACTTCACAAACCCTATATTCATTACTCAATAGAAAATTACATAATTCCTATCTCTATAGTTTCTGAGTACTCTTTATTTTTCCAAGTCTTTTGTGGGACAGAGTATCATGAATTCATGTTTTATGGATATAAGACTGACTTATTAAGATAAAGTAACTCATCCTAGATAGTATAGCAAGATGGTTGCAGATCAGAGAACTGAACCAAGTTCTCTTAAATTCCAAATCTAACCACTAACTCATTCTTTTCCCTCTCCTCTCTTCCATCTCACAAAAGAAATAGTAACTTTTTTTTTTACTTACATAAGCAGGCAGATTTATAAAAATTAAGCACTTGCATGAAAGTTTGTTGGCTTAGTTTGCAAACAGAGAGACGCATACACATACAAAGACTATAAGTGAGATATACAACAGAAGACAGTGAGAAAAGATAAAGAAAGAAGTAATAATTTTTGGTTCTGTGAATGGCCTTTTTGAAGCTTAGGGGGTTTTGATAAATTCTAATCATCTTAAGCAGAAAAAAGTCATGGTCAAGCCACTTCTGAATAAAACAGCAAGATTAAGTTTTGAGGAGGCATTTGAAATTGGAGATCATAATAAATATTATTTACAGAAAAGGAGCATAATAACATGTTGTCACCAGGAAACAGATTGATGAAATACTGCTTTCAAGAAACAACAAGTTCAGACAAATCTACAGCAACTGAAAAACTTAACTAGTAACATTTCTCACTTTTCTGTATATCTAAAGAGAAAATATTTAAATAAAACCAACAAAAAAGCTCATACATTAAAAAAAAAAATCACAAACACATTCCAGAAATTAAGATAGTTGTCACAATAAACACCCACCTCACTTACTTTTAGCTCTTACTCACTGTTAGTCACTTGTCTGTAGGCTGGGATACTTCTATTGAAAGCAACTAGTAATGGGCTGTAAGCACAGATGGTGTAAATCATCATTGCTCAACTAACGCTTCAGTTGCTATGCTAATTCATACTATCTGGAGAGTAGTTTTGTATGTTCATGTTTTGTTTGTGGCCAATCAGGAATTAGAAGTAAAATGTATTTGTGTTTATTATGAAGGCAACATAAAATGTATGAGGTCTTTGACTATTCATATCCTTCTTTTTAACTGTTTGAATACTTTAAATGAAGTGGGATATAGTAATTACCAGCCTTAAATACATTTTAAATTTCTTGTGAAGTATTTTCCTAAGAGTACCAAGGATACAAGAAAAAAAAGGATAGCATTCATAAAATGTTTAGAAGTTCTGATACATGAAATGTCATTTGGGTCGATATAAAGCAATAAGTACAAAGTTACTGTACTGACAGCATGCTAAAGTAAGTTCACAATCAGGAAAGTAGTTTAGAAGTCTGAATGTAGAAAGAGAATGTATAACCTGTGGTAATGAAGACCAGTTTATTTATATTTACTTGTTTTAAAATATTTTTCTTTTCAAGATATGTACACAGGAGAAGAAATTTTGTGACAGTTTTAGAGTCTTCACTGTTGCTCCTGATCCATTTTGTTGCTTCTGTGTACCTTTAACAGCTTCTGACACCTACAGGTAACCTAAACATTGTAGATTTGAGAGGTTACTTTTTGTTTTGTTTCTAAGATGCAGTTTGGGTGTTGCAGTAATATGCAAGTGAAACTACATTGTTATTCAAATGGATTGTAAGAGAGATAGATTTTTATTCCATGCAATCATTAAAATGTACGTAATAGATAAAAAGAGCCTAATATCACAAAAGGAAAAGGCAGACAAACCCATAATGGACATGAAAAATAATCTTGATATCTAAAATGGGAAAGAAAATCAAGTTAATTACTATTAGCTGATGCTGTGGGAAAGAAGGACATAGCACCACAATGACCTGCATTTACAAGCTTTCATTCATGTAAACTTTTAAGTGGATAACACCCAGAACATCAATATTTTGGCCTTTCAGTAAAAATAGATTCTTTGGAAAAAAGACTGTTAACTTGCAACAGTATCTTATTTTGTTGAATGCACTGGTCAGAAAATTGTCACTGATAGTAGCCCAGTTGTCAACAACAGAGAGCAGAGAAAATCTCAGAGCATGTCTTTTTTTTTTTTTTTTTTAGATGCAAGGGGGAGCTGGTTTATTTTTATACTGCCTTCTTGACTACCCTTCTGATGCTCAGGAACAACCTGGCTTCTGTGAGTTAGGTATGGGTACAACTCTTTTAGCTCTACAGAGGGGTCAAAAATCTTGTGAGAACATTTATGTTTCAAAGCAGTTTGCCACTTGTTCTCCTTTTAGCCAGGGAAGAATCATTAATGTATTAGAAATGTTTAAAACCCTGCTTTATGTTTGGCCTGCAAAAAGAAGGGGAGAAAGTCAATGTGGGTAAAGCACAGGGCTGCAAATATGATTTTTTTTCTTTGTAAAGGTCTGCCTCAGAATTCTTATGACTTTTTCGAAGCTGCATATGCTTGCTTTAGATATAAATTTGGCTTGTTGGCTCTCCAGTCATTAAAAATTGTTTCAAGCCATTGATCAAATGATGATGAGTTCCAGACAAATTTATGCTGAAGAATGTGCCTCTTCATGACCATTTAAAATCTAAATGGGTATTATGAAATCAGAGGGGGCGGAAAGTTTTTTAAGAGATGGAGTTTTAAGTAAAGGACATGACTTTCCAAGACATTTTTTCTCAGCAGCTGCGAAAGCTCAGAAGAATTTCCTTGACAGGAACATGTGAGGATGCAGTCTTTTGTGAGCCAGTCAGTGGAGACAGTTATGGGAAAATGGTAAATGTGATTTGAGTTCCAGAATATAAAAGGAAAAAGAAGCCGCAGTTCAAAGGGCCTGTCTGATTACTAAGTTGCAGAAATTATATGTTTATTCATCTGTTATTTTGTACTAGTACCTACAATTAAATGATGTCAGCTACAGTTTAAGAAAAATGGCTATTATAACTGATGATTCATTTAAAATACCTTCTTACCATATAATGCCAGCAGGAGATCAGGATGCAGTTGCACAAATGCTGTAAGCTGGACGTCACTGAAAGAAGAGTGTGGTTTCTGTTTGGTTAATGGCGTGTGAACGAACAAAGACTTCAGCCACTGGAGATGAGACGGCAAAATAGAAACAAGGATGGACAGCAATTGGGAGAGAAAGTGTGAACCAATGTGTCAGTGGCATGGGTGTACAGAGCTTGAGAAGGTGCAAACAGATGCCTTGGTTGAGCCCATCTATCAGGTGATGCTCTAGCTCATGGTTTCCTATCCTCTGCTTCTTACTGTGGTCCTTGCTGTGGATCTGGCATTGTTATAATGCAACAGGAGTTAGTGTGTCTTGCTTATCCAACAGAAGTACAGCAAGATACTCTTTTTGACAGTCGTTAGGTTGACATTTGCCATCTGACAACAGAAAAGAGCTCTTTAGACTGAGGGTGGTAAAACACTGGAAGATGTGCCTAGAGGGGTTTTCCTCTCCTTGGAGATAGTCAAGTGCTGGAATGGACAAGGTTCTGATCAACATGATCTAACTTAATAGTTGGATTTAATGTTGAGATTGGCTATGTTGTGTAGAGGGAGTTAGACCAGCTGGCCTCCTGAGATCCCCTCCGACCTAATTTATTATATGGTATAGAGGGGGCATTTATGATTCCTGTATCTGGTATTCTGAACTCTCAGTGCATCAGTATGCCTGGCTGAAAATTTATCTGTCAAACATTCAGATAGTCCTGTCACTATTATGAAATTTCAGTGTATAAATTTATGTGTTTACATTTTTAGGAGGTTTTCAGGAGGAAGTCAGTTCTTTAAAAATACAGCTTTTGTAAAGTTAATCTCATTGTTACTAAACCAAACATGTTAAAGCTAGGTTATTGAATATGAATTTACTGTAAAAATCACTAAAGTAACATGTACACATAAAGTTTACAAACAAGCTTAAATTTATGTTGAAGAGAGACTTGGCAATATCTATAATACATAGTGTATTTTAACTGATTAATCTCAGTGGATGTAAAAACATACTCATCCTCTCTCTACTTTGTCTCAGTGGCATGCCTGTGGTGCAGCATGGCTGCTGGATTTTATTGGATTGATAAAAGTTGTTCTTGTACTTAGCATTTGGATATTTTTATGGTAGCAGATCACATTTACATCCATAGAGAGGTCCTTTCACATAGGTAGGGATGTGAAAAAAGGCCCTGGAATAAAATGAGTCGAGGCCATATATGTGTAGTTTAAGGAGTGAAGTTATGACATCCTTCAACAACAACAACAAAATCCATAGTAACAAATGCAAAAGCAAATATATCTTTAAAAAAATTCCAGAGTCTTATTCTGAATTACATACCTCACTCTTCATAGCTGTTCATAAGTTGACAGTGTAGCTGCACAGGGTATATTTACTTCCAGTTAAATGTTTCTTAACAATTCTAGAGTGGTGCAAAAGGGATGTATTATACTAATTTCTTCTCAGTTGTGCAGCCAGATTATGAAATATATAAGCCAAAAACATACAAAGACTAAGCAACAAAGCCATCTAAATTGTTCATGAATGATTAAAAAGTCGTTTGTTTTGTTTGGACTTCAAAATCCCACTCGTCTCCAAAACATGCTTGGTCTGATTGCTAGTTCAGAGCAACTAAAGATCTCATTTTTCATTTCCTAGAAGATTCTATACTCAGTTGAAAATTATGTCTAAGTGGGAGTTAAATGCTGACACCAGAAAGCAGACAATTGCATCTTGGTGGTATTCTACATTTATGAGTCTCTCTTGTGCCTGGCCAAAGCACATCTGGAAAAGGAAAGAACTTGTAAGAGATTTTGCCTGCAAAGCTCCACATGGAACGGAGCTGATACAAATCAATCTTGCTTTTTTAGTACATCTATCTGCAAATAGCTACAGTGTAATGCAAACAGACATAATAATCCAGATTATTTTGGAAGATTGATTAATGGGAACATTACTCATATACTCAGTGCATGACATTTCCTATTAGTTGTTCATATCATTTGAGAGTTAAAGGATATAAATACTTAGGAACTTCCCAGCAGTTGGGTTGCCACCTGTCTGCTGAACACATCAAAGGGGGAAAAGCGTGAGTTATATTCCATTTAAGAATGCTGTAGCTATCTGTGGGACTCTGAATAACATTTCTGACACTGTCAGGGGAAAATTTTCCATAGCAGTCTCAACTCAGATTCAGCAATAGGGTTTTTTCTCCCTGACATAGCTAGAAATTTAAAGGATGTTAACAAAGGCAGAGGTAGTGGGGCTGATGCTTCTTGCAATTAGACAAGTAATTAGAGAGCTAAGGACTATATATATGCAACCAAAGTGAACACTTAGCAAACAGCTGTCAATCTTTGTATAGATTCATTGCTTCCTCTGTTAGTATTTATACCTGACATTGTAGCAGTTGTTTAATAAAAAACTCATTTGCATGAAGAACTGGAGATGGTAAAAACCAAAAAATATCTACAACAAACACACATGAAAATCCCCCAGCCGCATTTCTTTTTGTAAAACGCCTGTCAAACACATGGCAAAGCTATTCTGTAGCATGACATCACTTGGTTCTATGAAATGACTATTGACGGGTCTGTTCACAGCATCTATAATTATCTACTTACCTCTAAGTTTCAGTGATTTTGAGCAGCAGACTGATGTAAATGTTTCAAATCAGCTTCTGGAGATGCCTTTGAAACCAAACAGACTAGCACCTAACATAGGCATCAACATATGTATGTCAGGCTTTCTTCTGTAGCTTAACCTGGGCCTTAAAGTCACGGAAAATACTTGGAGAAAACTCCTTAATGTCCTATTTGTAAACACATAGCTGTGGATCTCAAGGTATTGTGGAGAGGATGAAAGCTCCTCTTGCTATAGGTTTACTACCCTTAAATTACTTCATAGCATCATTTAGCACTTTTGTAGAGATATGCCTCAGTAGATAGAAACCACTAGTAGTCTCTCATGGAGACCTGTAGAGGGGGAGCCATTCAGGAATTAGTAAACTTTAATGTACTGCTCCTGGGTCTGACAGCAAGCCTGCCAGGGACCATGTAGGAAAGGAGCACAGTGCCACAGACAGATTCTGCTGTGTGCAGAACTACCCTGTACAGTCTGACCATGAGTGGTTTGTAACACAAGACAGCAGGGACGTACAGGAGGCAAGATATTTTGCACAGTTGTCTGAAACTCTAGTGTTAGTCCCTACTTCTGGAGGGACAGTATAGTCCCCAGTCCCAAACTCTAAAGGGAAATCCTGAGATAGAAGTTAAAAAAGACCACTTGCTTAGAAAAAACAGGTAACTCGATTTCAGTGCTGATGTTTCACAAAACCCATTTGCTTCTTCTCTTGGATCAGCCTTGTCTGAAATTTGTTTAAAAGTATTGTAAAATTTAAAAGAAAAAAATAAACGTTTAATGTGTAGTTTTTTAATTATGATCCTTTTAGACAGAGGGGAATACACACAAAGCCCACCCCTGCCCTCGTCTTGTACTTTAATGCTTTTTGCAAACGAATCAGTATTTTCTAATTTTTATCTTATAATTATAGCTAATCCTCCAAATCTTCAAACAGTTGTCATAAATCAATTATGGTTTCAAGTCAGAGATAGTTTTGAGCTTACAGTTATTTTATATATAGATATGTGAATGAGAAAACTAGTAGATATTTATGTGCATTTGTAGTCAATCCTCTTGATTGTTAGATTTTTGATATGATCATTTGTGAACCAGCATCTGACTTGAGAATTTAAATGCCATTTCTTCCACTCATGTCAAGACCAAAGTGAACAAGTAGATTTGGTTGCCCAGGGCCCCATCCAATGACCTTGAACACTTCCAGGGATGAGGCATCCACAACTTCTCTGGGCAACCTTTGCCAGTGCCTCACCACCCTCACAGTAAAGAATTTCTTCCAAATATCTAATCTAAACCTACTCTCTGTCAGTTTAAAGCCATTCCCCCTTGTCCTATCACTATATGCCCTTGTAAAAAGTTTCTCTCCAGCTCTCTTGTAGCCCCTTTTAGGTACTGGGAGGGTAGCTGTGCTTTTTGCTGTGTATTTCTGAAACAACACACTTTTATTTCCCCTGTATGAATGGGCAAGGCAGGCAGCCTGCCAGCTCCCAATAACCTGCTGCATATTTTGCCTATTTCCTTGAAGTAGCCCTGTGAACAACTGGGTGTTATCCAGGAGTGCATTCCTCATTTACATTTATTACAAATTAATACAACACTTTTTGTGGTGCAGCTTTTGATCCTGTAAATAACTTCTGTTCACCTGAGCAGTCTCATTAAACACAAATCTCATTAAACACAAATACACAGCTCATCAACAGTTACAACAATACTAGGAAATCCAATATTCTTAAATACAGTTGCAAAACAGAAATTAGCCGATATGATGCTGACTTAAGATGGGGTGAGCAGCGCAGACCAGGGAAAAGTTTTGTATCTGATGACCCAAACCTTCACATGAGGGACAATGTAATTTCTGAAAGTAGTCAAAGTCATCATGGAAGTCCTCTGACCCAGTTACAATGCAGATCCAGCTTGCCATACAAGTCCTTCAGTTTTTGCTTAAGCTATGCAGAAACCTTGTTTATGCCCTTGGACAAGACAACAGTATCAGACTTAGATTAGTAAATGTTTTGCATGTGAGCACAGCCCGTGCCACAGAATCTGGATCTGGACAAAACTGTTTAAAATTATTTTATGTGTTGTGGTAACCAGAAATGCTCTTACCAGAATGGCCAGCTACTAAGAGCAGATTTTGACTGGCTCTAATAGGTATGGCTATGCAGGCATTTTTGTTTGTGTAGGCCAAAGGGGAGGAGCACGTTGCAAAATATCTTATGAAACAAAAAAATAAGACACCGAGCTGAAGTGGATTTTTAAACCTCTTGAGAATGAACAATATGCCTTTTTAGTAAACCAGTTGTGCATAGAGATCAATGTACACAATTAAAAGACTAATCCTGCTGTAAGTTCACCTCAAGTATTTCATGAATTTCACATGATCCACCCACTTTTTTTCTGTACCTCTGCAATTACCATATCAGCAGCAATAATTCTCTGTTGTTCAAGTGCCAGATACAACATGGCTTTCACATTCCTGAACGTGGCATATTGTGCTGCTCTGTTTGTTTGTTGTTTCGGAACAAGATTAAATTTTATTCACTTGTGCACCTCATTGAACTTTAACCCACTCTTTGTCATCTTCTTAATCAGTGATTTGTTTATCTTGCTCTATGGTTCTCAGTTTCTTATATTTAGTTTAAATTCTGCACGAAACCCATGTTTTTCAAATAACTTTTTGAACCATTCCTGGTTTTCCTCACATATCATATTTGGAACTACCAATTATATGTGTGATCATCTGACTTCTTTTTCTCCCTTCTACTAGAGCTAGAAATTATGAAGTAGCTCCTTTCCAACTGCAGCACGAGCATTTTCATGCAATATTTTAATTTACACATAGTCTATCCCTTCAGCAATATAAAAGCATCATGAGCACTGTCTCAAGATTTTGCTTATGTGGGAAAGTTAGTTTGGTTAGATAAAGCTGTAACTTTTCTGCGTGTGTGTATGCACAGGACAAAAGCTGATTATTCCAAATTATCTTATTTTGAGTCCATTTTACTTGAGAAGTACATTCGCAATAGCTAAATAGGAAGAACTCCCCTTGTAGAGCTGACTTCAAGCATTTGCAACCACTGAAGGCCCTCATCTTGTCACAAAGTAGAACATTTAGCAAATATGAGAGTAACCCCTTATCAACATTTAATTATACAGTGTATAGGAAATAGTCACAGATCAGGTTTCCAATGTGCTGTGCTTCCTTCAAACACTGATTAGATTTAAAAGCCAACTTTCAAAGAGCTTTTATTTTAAATAGAATTTTCTTTTAATCATCACCAATGGAGGTGATCAATCAATGTGCTTGTGAGCATGTGCTGCTCATGTATTTACCAGGTCTTCTGGAACTTTAGACTATATAGCTGATTTCTCTAATGAAAAAAAAATCCAAACCAATAAACTGGTATACTTTTACCATAGTTATATTAAAAAAATAAGATATAGAATATTATGTAAAGAAAAAAATTTTTTTTGTCACTCCTTGGTGACAAATACTTTTACTGATGAGTATAAACAAAAAGTTAAAGGTGTTCTCTGTCTCGGTATCAACAGACTCTACAAACTGAAAGACAGAGAATTTCTTGTATTTCCAGAAATGTTTCTTGGATGTCAGATTAAAGGATGTAGAAAAATGCAATTTCTCTATCAGTTCTACAAAAAGACCTCCAAAATCCCAAGGGATTGAAAGACAAGCTGTTCATGGAGTCTTTGCCCCATGGCAAATGAGTTAGCATCTCTATTAAAGCAATTAGCAACTCAGTATATTTGCCTTTATATCTATAAATGAACTAATCTCAAAGGCTCTGAATCTCCAAAGACTCCACAAATGTACCTCGATACCAAAACATTGCAAGATTTATTCTTGTTTCAGGCAGGCTCTCAGAGGAACAGATTTTGAATTGCCCAAATTAAAACATTTCCAGTTCTAGAGAGAATAAATACCCTTTAAGGATCTATTGACATCACTGCAAATATGAGCACATGGTGCAAAATCACCCTGTGAGTTATATATCTTTTTAAGTCACACTGACATATGCAATGATATTTAAACTATACCCTGATTGCCACTGTATTGCCTGAACTCACTTTATTTATATACTTCAAAGTCTCTCTGGATCTCAGAAGCACAACCCTTCTTTTAATAATTATAACTAATTTTCAGCAGGAACCTGCCAATAGTTATTACATAAGACGATTTGTGACACTGCATTTAACCAAGGAGGTTTTACTTAAAAATCTTATCATTTGTGAGTCTTTGGAGGTCAAAATGGTGACCTGTTAGACAACAACAAAAAAAGACCTGCTGAGTCAGACTACTGGTCCTTAAGAGGAGACACCTTTTAGGGAGAATATGTGAACTTGGCCTTTTTCTGCTCTCTGATGCATCTCTTCCTCTCATACATCCCCAGTATGCCAGTTAGATTAGGGATGACGGAGAATACATCCACTTGGTACCTCTTTATGAGACATAAACATATCTAATCCTTTTATGAACTTGCAGTACTCTCTGCTTTAC